GACTGTTTTGCTGGCCATTTCCAGTAAAGTAGCCAGATAACACAAAGCAAAGTAGCTTGCTTTGCCATTTTTGATTTGTGGTGCCGAGGCACAGTGCCTCACTTTTCTGTGTCAGGATGCTGCCTTAAAATGGATTGTTCTACAGAGTAGAGACAAGGCAGCTTTGCAAAATGGCACTGCTATATACCAGAGTATATAGAAAAGAAACTAGAAATTATTTAAGGTACAAAAACAGGTCTTCCATATGAAAAGAAGAATAATTCAAAAGGAATTCACAGAGTAATAAGACAAAGGCTAACAACAGCGAACAAGGATAAAATGATTGAATGGAATTTTTAAAGTAACCAAATGTTATTAAAAGGCTTGGCAGATTGTTAGACATATTCTTTAAACAAGTGACATAACATGACAAATGAGAGATTTATCCTTCTGATGGAGAGAAAGGAAATAATTGGATATTCTGATAAAATTCAGAACGCAAAATGGAGTCATTCTCAATATATCTTTACTGTTCTAAATTTAAAAGGATGTATTTTGTCACTGAGCTGTTTAACAGAAAAAGATCTTATGATTCTATTTAAAGACGTAGTATATTTCCATATTAAAATGGATCAAAAGGTGCTGCTGGATCCATAAATATGAATATTTACACTGAATGCATATAATAAAAGAAAATGCATTCATATTTGGCATCACATTTAGAACACCAATATTCAGAAAGCATATTGGAATTATAAAAACAACAATAACAACAAAAATTCTGAAACAGGTCTGTGCAAATTTGAAAGCTGTGCTTTGAAATACACGGAACAACATATATGGACTGTACTCTCTTTTGAATAATCTGTCTGTTTCTTATATAGCTGCTTAACATACATGGTACTCCCTGCTGGATAATCTGTTTCTTATACAGCTGCTTTGGAAACTGTTCCCAGTTGTCTTGTCATGCATGTGCTTGCACAGCCATTTCACTTCACTTTTTCCCAACCATTTAATGGATTATTCTAAAGTCATGAAAACTAAAGATGATGTGTTTGAAAAATGTAAAAAATGTATAGCTTTGACAAATAATTGTAATTGGTGAAAATTGTCAATTATAATATAGGTAATCATAGGAAATTTACAGGAAGAAGAACTTCATCTGTAGAAAATAATTTCATGGAATACAGCTTCAGGAAATAGCAGTACAGCACATTAAAATGTAGCTGAAAAAAACAATACAGCCTTAACAGAAATGGTGGATGCTTCAGGCCAATCATAAAAATATTGCAATAATGTTGACTAACATGTATACCAATCAGCTTATTTTAGAGCAAAAAATAAAATTCCACATAAGCTTTAGTATAAATAATAATAAAAATAAATAAAAATAATTTTAAAAAGTACAGCCATATATTATGAAACAAAGTGCGCAGATGTATTAAAAAAAAAAAAAAGTTCCATACTACAGAATGCAACAGTGGAAGGAATACTAGTCGATTATAGGAAGCAAGCAAGCAAACAAACAAAAAAATACAATCTACTGATTAAAATACAGATTAAAATCACAGCAACCAATAATTTGATTTTGAAGATTCTGAAGAGTTTAACTGCAATCTATAATGACAGAAGCAGAAAAAGAATAAACTGTTCAGCAAACAGCAGAAACATCACAAAGATAAAAGATACATGGAATGCAGAGTCATCTGATAAAAATGCATTCAACTTAGGCAATCAGTTAGAATAAATAAAGGTAAATCTCCTGTGCACTGTCTTATAAAATCATTAATAGTAAAGTTACTGAACTTGAAGGAAATTGCATATATGCCATACATGGAAGCCAAAAAAATTGGAAATTGGCAGCAGCAGCAGAAATGAAATCCATGTACAATGAGCAGACATGGGAACTCACTTCTCTTCAACTTAATGGAAATATATATATATATAGTGAATATATATATATATATAGTGAATATATATAGTGAATATTTAAAGAAAAATATAATGCAGATGACATTATGTTGTGGAAACAATTGTGCTTGCTTTAATGAGTCACAGACAGGCATTTTTGTTTCTGCACATTCCTAAACATTTCTTCTAAATCAAATCTGAAGCTCTGCCTATTCCATATCTATCTATATGTCTACGTGTGTGTGTGTGTGTGTGTGTGTGTGTGTGTGTAAACTAGGGTAAACATCTCGATTTACAGAAAATAATATCAGAATATGAATGAAAATTAAAACAAAATGAAACAAAAAAAGCATTTATAAACTAAAACCCTCTGCAGGAGCATGGAATATTAAAATATATACAATATTTACTAAATCATTTTATTTGAGACATACAGTGCCTTTTGGGTCTTGCAAGCACTCAAGGCATCTAACAGAAAATAATAATAAATAAAAATAGTATTATATTCCAAAACATTGGGAAACAGATACTTATTCTGGTTTGCATAGGTAACTGGGTAACATGCTTTGAAGAAATAGGAGATTAAATAGAATTTAATGAAAATATTAAAGATTTTGAAATCAAAGGCTGGGGAAATATAACTAAATTTCTGGATTTATCTAACTATCTCATGTATGTTGAGAAGGAAAGCTGTAAAATATCTACCATTGATGAGTTAGTGGTGGATGAGTTAAGCTGTTATCATATGCTACAACTGAAGATGGGAAAATAAATGCAAGAATTTCATAGCAAAGCAACAGTATTCTTTCTTCCCAACCTACAAGTGGGATTTACAGTATGTTGAGGTAATTACTGTTATGTTCTACTATTGATTCTTGTCTATCAGTAAACTTGTCTCATTTTAATTTTCTCACATGTTCATTAACTATCACTTAATTTTATCTTTATACATAAAAGTTCACAAACTTTCTTCTCTTTACTGAAAAAAAATATTGTTTGTAACAGTTTAATCAATGTCTGCTCCTGATATTATATAATAAATTAACATGTTATTTTTAAAAAATATTCTTTTATTCAGAACAAAGGTAAGCAGTATTTAGCAGTATTTAACAAAGGTAAACTGTACGTAGCCTCAAATGAAGGAAGAATGCAATTTTTCTTCCATGGTTATGATAGAAATTCCTCTTGCATAATTATAGGGTTTTTATAGCCACAAATCACAAAACACTTCAAATGTGTTTACTTTACTTTCAGTTGCATGCAATTTTGTGCACCCTGGTCAAATTGTCTATTTTAATTTCAGTTTCCTAAATGAACAGGAGCTGAACATCTTTACACAGTACACCATCACAACTTTCTAACAGTTCAAATGCACAACTACTATTTATGTACAATTATTTATAGACACAAAATAAGGGGGGAAAAGTGAACATGACAGGTACAAAATTTGAACAATCTTTGTGAACGTTGTAACACCTTCTTTGACAAATGACAATTTCCAACAGAAATAACAGCATCAAACATTTCCTGTAGCCAACTAATAATATTTATGTTCTTGCTATTGAATTTCTTCTAACCTATTGCACAAATTTTCTAGCTTAGTATTGTTTTGACTAATTGCATTTATTGCATTTCTGAGATCTGCCCACAGATTTTTAGCAACATTCAAGTCTGGAGACACTGAAGGTCTTTTGAAAACATTCATAATTCTTTCCTGTAAGTACTTTATAGCTGATTTGGAGGGAAGCATGTTGCAGATTGTTGTCTTGTTGAAATATCCAGCCACTTTTTGCCTCCAATTCTTCACTGCTTATGGGACATAGGATATTTGAGCATTTAGTTGAATGCATTCTTCCTTTTACCCATGCAATACTTCCTATGTCATTGGCTGATACATAATCTCAACACATGCTAGAGACATCCCTGTATTTAATGGTTGACAAGTTGTTCTTTTCTGCAAATGCTTTACTCTTTTTTCTCAAAACTTTTCTGTTTTCAGTTGTGGCCAAACAGTTCAGTTCAAATCAAATCTTTTATTGTGGTCATAGACTAGCATACGGAGGGTGGGGTAATCAATTAAAAAGCAAAAAATATACATTGGAATTTATATAAAAGTTTTGAAAAGCTAAAATATATAAAACAGAAAGTATATATAAAAAAGAAGACTCTAAAAGGATCTAAAAAGGGGGTAGGAACAGTTCAGTTTTTGTTTCATCAGTCCAAATTTGGTCCAAAACATTTCAGGTTCACCAAGGTTTTCTTTTGCATACTTTAGACAATCACTTTTGTGATAAAGTTAGACAAAGGGTTTCATTTTGACAACTATTCCATGTAGATCACTGTTGTATAACTAACACTCTTCTGTGGATTTGTGGATAACTATTCCAGTGGCAGCTATATTTTTCATCAGGTCATTTGCAGTGACCTGTAGTTCTATTATGCAGATCTAAACAGAACTGGGCAGTTCCAGTGGAGACTTTTCTTAGTCTTTCAATTCTTGCCTTGATTTCAACACATCCATGTAACCCATTTACTTTACTTAACAGTTAAAATTGCTAGTTAGTGGGATTTATAGATCTTTAACAGCCTTCTCCTGCTTTATAAGAGTGAATTGTCTTCATTTCTAAGCCCATTTCACGGGCTTAGAGGAGTCCATGGCTGTTGAAAGTAAGTATAACAACGATCATAACCTGAAAGTTTACAAGTGAGAATATTTGTTCACCTGTAGAATTTTCTTTACCTGGCTAATTGCACAACAGCATACAAAATTGTTCAATTTTGCATTAGAACCTTACTAACAACTTCACTTACAGAAAGAAGATGGAAAAGGAGAAGCATTGAATTAACAGGAAGATTATCCAAAATTCTGCACTTGGCATATCCATAGTTTTCTTATTTGGGACCTGTAAACATACATAGTAACTATGCATTTAAATTGGGAGCAATATTTCAGAAATTGTGTCAGCTTCTGTTCATTATCGGACTTATTAAACCAGCGTGCCTGAATTTCTATGTGCGATGTACATTCAATGAATAATTAAGTGGCTTTCATTTAACTATTACACTCTTGATTTCAGAAGCATAAACATGTTGTTATAACATACACTCACCCGTAAAGGTTTAATTTGCAAAGTTCCTTGATCATGTATAGATGTCCTTGGATCTCTGCCGAGAAAAGTAAATCCTTCTTTTAACCAGCTGATAACAGGCATTGGGTCACCAGTAGCCTTGCACTTCAGTAAAGCTGTTCCATCTACTGCCAATGTCTGGTTCACAGGTCCCTGGAGAATGATGGGTGGAGGCCTATCTGTTAAAACTGAATTTAAATATATATATATGCATATATTAGTAGATATCTTGTAAAGTTTAGACTCAGATGCCACTATTTTGAAAAACATTTTCTAGAAAATTAAATAAAGTTGCTGAGAGTCAGTTTGTTGTAGTAGTCAAGGCACTGGGCTAGAAACTGGAAGATCATGAGTTCTAGTCCCACCTGAGGCACAAAGCCAGCTGAGTGACCTTGGGCCAGTCACACACTCTCAGCCCTAGGAAGAGACAATGACATTGGCACTTCTAAGATCTTGCCAAGAAAACTGCGGGGACTAGTCAACAATACTTGAAGGTACAAAAAACAAAGAACAACAACAACAAAAAGCTTTATAGAGAAGATAATTATTTATGTTGTTCATTAATGTGTTGTTTGAATTAACAAAATAATAAGCAATCCCTTCCAACAACTGTCTATTAAGTTGTACAGTTACATGTCTTGTATATTATAAAATCAAGAAACAAAGGATTTTAAAAAATACAATTTAAATTACAGTGACAACTCATAGTATCAAAATCCTGATGGCATAAAAAATACATCACTACATAATGAAAGGAAATTGAGAAAGAGAGCAATCCAAATTCTACTAGTAGTTCTACAATTAGGATCCTGCAAAAGCCTGTACCTATCAAACATGCCTTTCTAGATGGTGAAGGTATAATTTTAAATTAGGGGGAGATTCATATAGAAGCATGTTCTCAAATATTCTGCCACCTAAATACTTTTTATTTTTCTTGAAAACAAATTGACAGTTGGTGAAGCATCAGCCAATCACAGAGATTTTTTCAAGAAAGAAACATAAAAAAAAATCTCTATGTAGTATATCAAGCAAAAATATTAATACAAATGAACACATAATTTTGTGACTTTGTAAAAATATGGGGTTAGCTTCAAAGTGACCTATATATATACTTGAGGAATGTTTTCTGAATATACAAGATGCATTATAAAGATAGTACAAGAACACAATAAATTCTATTATATTTTATATAAAATTATATATCAGCTCTGTAGATTTCTTGGGAATGGCAAGTATGTTTTTCACATCCATAGTTTTCTGAATTAATGCATACATTGTGCAACTAATAAGCTATTCACTTAAATCTATATAGGCCATCATTAACAGTGTGGTTCTCAGAAAATGCCTTTGAACAAGGATATAAAATACATTGAAATATAAAATAAATGAATAAATGAAAATATGTATATGCTTCGATTACTGTATAAAACATCCAGTGATTTAGACATGTAAGACTCCTTAAATATTTCATTTTGCAGCTAATGGGATATCTCATATATAAGGAAGAGACTTATGTTTGTTTTCTTGAAAGACTATTTTTATAACAGAAATATTATAAGACTGTTCTTTGCCTTTAATATAATTGTACTCAAAACTTCATATTATTATTGTCAGTGTTTTACTCAAATATCAGGAAGAATACAAAAATAAGTATTGTAGAAGTATATACACACATTCACAGTTCATAAACCAAACATATCCAGAAAATGGTAATTTATTTTAATTTTCATTGATTTATTTAGTACTAAAAATAATAAAAGATAGATATAAGCACTTTCCAGAAGAGCAGCTGAGTCTTGTTACAATTTAAGAACCCTAAAATTTATTGCAGTTGTGGAAGTAAAACTGAATATTAATAAATTGGTGGAATGTGAAAATCACATATTTGTTACTTGTTAAGGTATTTGTTAGTCTTTAAGAGGCCACAAGTCCCTTTGTTTATTTTATATAGGCAATTATTTTCAAAATGGCTCCAATCACTTGATATGGCAATTCATGTTTCTACATATTCATACAAACCAAAAATGTAAGGGATGTACAGATAATCATTAGAATGCCAATACAGTTGTTTACAGATCTCTAGGAACACTAAAAGTTTACTGAATCTCCACCCTTTTTGTCATAGAAACCCATAGTAGTCTTTCACCCATTTTATTCTTGACAATAAATATCCCTTCTAGCCAGGAAGCTTTCAATTACTTTATTGATCATTACCATTTAAAGGATTACGATCTACTCATTTGGACAGCAAAACCTAATTAGTTGCCAAAGAAGCTTTCCTTTCGGTGGCTGGTGTGGGTCTTCCG